TTGAAGGAGTTTTGGAAACAATAGACCAGTAGTTTTCAAGAGGGACGTGACATAATAATAAAAAATTTAAAATCTATATAATAGGTTTTGAATTTAAATTAGAAATATGTTTTTTGTAAAAACTTAGAACAATTAAGATTTTATTTACTTATCTAAATTTTAAAAAATAAAATTTTTGTAAATTTTTTTAAAAATAAATTAGCTAGTAGCATAGATATGCTCAGTATTTGTTGTCACTTCTACCAAATTTCTTTTTTTTGTTACAGGGGCCGGGCACAAAAACTTTCTTCTCAGCCCTGCCTCTATGCCTCTGTTAATAATTGAGTTTGAGTTTAAATTAGTGAATGTTTTGATTTATCGGTTTATTAATTAACTTAAAAAGTTCATGTAAATACATCATTTTTATTTCTATTTTCTTATCAAGTGACCAGGAGTGGATTGATCTTGAATCTATTCAAGTTTTTTCTCTGATTAAAAATGATCTTGAATCTATTCAAGTTTTTTCTCATCTGATTAATTTTAATTTAAACTAATTTTTATTGGTTGGTTAAGAAACAGTCCATACTCTTAAACCAAACCAATAAGTAATTTAATTTGCTGGCCGAACCGATTAGTCTATGTGTTCTTGGATAATTTTTATAGGTAAAGTGATCTAGGATGGGGATGAAGATGTTCTTGGATAAATTACTTGTTGATTGATTTAGAGGTGGAATGAGAAGCTTGTGAGACCATGGTTCAAAGGCCTCTCACATAAGTTAAATAATCGATCGCCCTCTCCCAGATCGGGCTCTCAAGTGTCGTCGAAGATTTATCTAACCCATAACTATAAGGTATATAAACCCAAATTTAACGTCATAAAAAGAATTCACCAAGTGCTAAATCCCTATCCTAATGTTCTATCTATATAAATTTCAATGAAATCCATCAGTACGTGCGGTTTAAAACGTAGTTGGTGGTTGGAGATTTTTCCGCACTTCAACGCCACCTTAAGCCGAAGCGGGAGGGGTTTTTCGCGTATAAACACAAGCAACCGAGGCCCAATTTGGGATAATATAATACACTCCAAACGTTAAAAAATTTGAGAAATATTAAATGCACAAAACCTCGTAAGGAAGAGGAGGAAATGCCAGGGCATTATTGCTTTTGATCGATTATATATATATATATTGTCTTTCAATTTGGATGAAAATAAATGGCCATTTAGAGTGGTTCGAGGATACCAGTCCGGCATTGAAAAATAATCTAAGCTAAATAGAAGAAAGGATATTTATTACTATTTTCTCCTCCTCCTCCTTCATTTTTTTTTTATTTTAAGAATTTGGTTAGGTGATCATTTGTTAGAACCTATTTTGATATAATTGTATTTATTTTTTAAAATATTTTTTATTTAAAAAATATTAAGATGATTTTTTTAAAAAAATTAACTTTAATATTAGAGCATTAAAATGATATAAAAACACCAAAAAAATATTAATTTGAAGTAAAAATAAAAAAATTAATTTTTTTCAAAAACTTTTTTAAAACATAAAAACAATTTAATTTGATTTAAAATTCACTTGCAGAAAGAAAGTAGAGAAAAATGAAATCTGGAAAAACAAATAATTCAGAAAATATATAATACAAAAAAAAGGAGGAGGAAAATTACATAAAACGACACCCCACGATCGTATGTATTAACGGAAGTACAACTTCATAGATAGATTATTCAAACTCCAGCGATTATTCTTGATATATGTGGAGAATCAGTACGTGCATTTTACAAGTAGACCAAAGCTAGTCTCAAGGATTCATGCGTCTGCCACCAGGAGTATTCATGGTGGCGCCACAGCAAGGGCAAGTATCCTTCATGGTCACATTCGCACCCTTTACTGCATCCTTGAGGTCGCCGGAAGTGCCTTTATGGTCACATTTGCATCCTTTACTGCATGTCCCGGAAGCGCCGCCACAATCTGCACACAAAGCCAAATGAATTGGCAAGAATTAAGTGCACCCATGAATTTAATTAAGACGTACGTGCTGATGTTTGAACAATAATTTAACTCGATACTGTTAGATTTACATGTAAAATTAATAACCATAGGTTATTCCAATTACACAAGCGCCATTCGACCAACTGGTGATGTTGTGGGCAGGTTCAAGAGTTTACGTACCCATGTTTTTCCCAGGAATAGTGCTTGCGTCTTGGCTTGCGTTCACCTGCATCATTAAATGCCATGTTTTTTTTTTTGTATATTTTTAGTAATCGAAGGTTCAGCCTCAAAGAAAATAGAGGGAAAAGAAATGAACTCGACAACCCAAAAAAGCATCATTCATACGCTGTAAGACCCATGAATACTTTACCTTCTGGAGCACAAGAAGAGATACGACAAGTGAAGCGATCAAAAGCTTCAAAATAGCCATTGCTAAAGTATAATCACCACTGGAGACTAGAGCTTTCAGTTTTTTTTCGAACTCCTTGTTTGACTGCATGAAATAGGAGAAAGGGCCGTGGCAGTAGTTATAGCTAGAATTTGAGAATAAAAAACAGAAAGTAGGTAAAGACTGGACATCATTCGAAACCGAGGGTTGATCTACCGCACTAATTATACTATGGTCCCTTGTTACTTGTTAGTGCTTGGGGATAATATTAGATTTACTGGGACGGTTGTTTTGGAGGTTTATTTTTTTTTTTTTTAAAAAAAGAAAAGGTTCAAGGCATCACTATTTAATTGATATTTAATCCAAATTAAATTAAGTGTATGTACATGGACATCCATCCTCAATTAATTAATTATAAAACTTACTTTACGATCATGAAAGAAGAATATTTTTGGAATCTTCCAAAGGCACAGTAGAAAGTTATTCACTCTAATGTTAGATAGCATCCAATGGGTTTAGCACATGTTTTTGCCATAATGTTCTTAAAATTAATTACGATTTTAACGTTCTTTTTAATTTCTTTTATAGCCAGTCTTGACACCAGGGAGGAAATAGTTTCCTAAAAGTGACCGAACCCGGATTAACAGCACGGGAAGGACAAGTTTGACTGTATTTGACTCCAAACTTGCATTAATTAACCTTGTTGTGTGACTCGAATTTGACGCCAAGTCAACCAAATAACGTTGACAAAGGACTTGAAGCTGTCAAATTTCCTTTGTCTATGCAAGTGCACAAGTACTGCAGCGTACTGAATCTTTTACATACCTTTATATGCAGACACCATCCAAACTACATTACTTTATTTTTTAAAATATTATATATATATATATATATTAAAACGATTTGAAAATTTTAAAAAATAACTTAAAATAAAAATTAAAAAATTAAATTTTTTAAAATACAAAAACAAACGAGCTTCAAGTATATATTTGTACAATAATAAATAATATTTTTTATTTTTATTTTTATATCAATACCTTAAAATAATTAAAAAATCCTTTAATTTAATATTTTTAAATCAAATATAATTTTTAAAAATATAAAAAGACAAAAATAATCCCACTTCCAATCGAGTTTTTAACCCAGCACAATCATACTATGTATTAAGTTTCAAATTACTTTTTAATTAAAAAATATTAAATTAATATTTTTAAGTGTTATTTAATATAATTTTAATATATTGCTGATAAAAATTGGAAAAAAAATCTATTATACAAACACAGTAAGAAAAAAAAAAGATACAAAGCGATTAATACGAGCACCAATCTGGACCCGCTCCGTAGATTCCAAATAGCCATTCTGGACACCTGCCAAGCCATTACAGAATCAGACACATCGCTGGATTCTCACCACACATATATTTTTATGAAGCTGGCTATTGGTCTGTCAGAAAATATTTAGGTGCATTGACACGATGGAGATTTGCAGTGCCGCCGAATTCATAATGCTACGACCTCACTTGGGTTGCTTTGCGGCCACGCCCTATTTTACGGTACCACAACCTACAAATAATTTTTTTTCTTCTTGATAATCTGTAATGCACATACAGCTGGACCACGGCGTGAGCCATATCTAGATTTGCCAAAGGCCCAGTAGAGCCTTTTGGACACTAGTGCCCGGACCACACCATGCCCACTGATTATCCACGCAGTTACTTTACCGGTGGTCTATTTAACATTAACTGTATGTATGCAAATCATATGAATAATTGAATTTAATTTAATTTTATGTCATTTTAATTTAATTCATAATTCATTATATTTAGAATAAATACTAAATTATATAATCGAATTTAATTGTACTATTTAGAATATATATAAAATTAAATTGAATTAGAAATCTTGACTATTTTGGTACATCTTCTCAGCAATACACAGTTTCTTCATGCACTTGCTTTTGCCACTCATATATCTAATCTCCTTTTGTTGAAGCACACTAGAGATGCTAAAGCTGGAAGCCGAGAATTTCACTATAGCACTATTAACAAGAGGCACTTTACGATGCATTTTTTTGCATCAGAATTCAGAAGCTTAAATGAACTATGAAAAAAGATTCTAATCTTAAATCCAGATAGCTTTGGGCTGTTCCCTTGTAAATGAATAAAAAAATTATTTATCTGTTGGGATAAAATTAAATAATAATAATTCAATTTAACTTAAATATAATTATTTCATTAAAAATCATAATATTAACAGATATAATATTTTATTATAATATTTCAAGAATAATTAACATGTTACTACAAAGAATATTTTATTTGTCCTCTTTATTCTTTTGCATGTTTAGAAGGCTTGATATATAATGAAGATATTTTCTCTGTTTTTTATAATTCTAAACCAACTCTTTATTTATTTTCATATTAAACACTTTCTTTACAGGGATTTGTACATCGTCTCAACCACATGCACAACTTGACTTGTTTTATGCTTTTATTCTCTGTTGTAAATGCCATTGCAGAAGGCAATGATGATATGATAAAACATTGTTCATTTAAGTTTTAGAGTGTACAAGGCCAGAGCGAAAAATTCTTATCCTAACAAAATTTCAAGATTTTTTTATATTAAAACACTAAGACAGCTATAAAATTAATCTGGATTAACTCAAGAAGTTAATTTGTTAAACTCATGATGAGATTATGGATTCTAACATGTTCAATAATATTTTATCTATTTAATTATTAAGTTACCAAAATACCAACATGCAACGTGACCCAACTTTACAGTCCCACTTACTACGATAACTCTAATGCCTGCAAAAGAGAACATGCGTGAGCACACTATCTGGATGGCCCAAACGCAACCAAAGCTGCTCTGTATCGTGGTAGTTATCAGTGGAAGCGCTTGGCAGATTATGCGGGACACACTAGCTTACACCACTCCTGAGGGGAGCCGTAGAACAAGCTGCCCACCAAGAACACTGCAAATAACCAAACATATGTTAGAGAGAGCATCTGAAACGTTATGTCTAGTGTTTTCTGAAAAGAAGGCTCGTTGCCCATAACCCTACCTCTTGACATAGTAATAGCAAAAATCAGCAAGAATGAAAGTCTGCACGATTTCTGAAAGCAGGACCATCGAAGGCCACAGTCCATAGCCCAGTGCTGTCAATAGGCGTCCTCGAGTGTCCAATACCTGCATATAGAGATAAAATGTATCCTCAGATAGGAGTGGCTATTTAAATGATTCGTGCTAGCATTGTCACTTTGTGCCTTCTGATTTGTGGTCGAGCACAAGTATTAGCCCCAGCAGAGTAACGTAAAGCTTTACAGTGAACCAAAAATGGACACTAAGCCATATATACATATGGGTGCATAAAATGCGAAGCATATGTGTGAATGCTTCGTGTGTCCACAGGGGCAGGGGTGGTCAAGCAGAAAATGGATGTGTGTTTGTACGTAAAGACTGCAAGAGGATGGTTTCATACAAAAAAAATAGTTGTAACATAATCAGCGCTCTTCCAAGCATAATAGAACTTAGATACGAGAGGAAAATAAGTTCTACTTGAAGCAATTATATTATTGTTCTGAACAACTTCGTGAATGAACATCACTGTGCTCTGTGCATGCAAATCTTCAGCCAAGTGTTGGACAAGTGTGCTGCGACAATGAATTCCTAACAGCAATTTTGCAATAACAGAAGTCATATCCCAAAATCTAGAAGGAGTTTTAAGACACATCATCGAACCTGGAGGACCCAGTGTGCACAGCTCAAAAACCTAGCAACTCCAAGTGCAAATACGTAATGTGCTGTGAATGGTTCAACAATCTGAAATCAGACAAAAGAACGATGAGCAAGAATAGTCATGTGAAGGTCATCTACACATTAAAAAAAACACCGATATCATCTGGGCATTGACTGAGATGAAAATCTGCACAACCATCAGTCCCATATTTGCAAAAAGTATGATCCGTTAGAGAAAGTTAATAAGAGAGCACATTTTATTCTCAGTCATACCTTTGTGTTCTGCATCACTCGCAGCTGAGGCAACACTGAAATGGATTCAAGGTAAACACAAAAGGCCCAGCAAATCCTGTTGAATATGTTATGATGTGTTGTTGGATGAATAATCAAAGCTAGTAAAGCACATGGTATCAGCTGTTTGAGAAGAAGAAAAGACACGTGTTACTTCTAGGGGAAAAAGACAGAAAAGAGCTATTACATCATAAGAAATTTGTTTATTCCTTTCTTTGTGGGTTTAAAACATCATAAGCTAAGTAGAAATCTTGCAATTGATGGCAACACAAAAATGAAACCAAGAATGCACATAGCGTGCCGGCCCACCAATTCAATAGGTGCACATCACGATGGTTTTCTTTAAACCTGCTTAAGCACTGCATGCACGAGTAACTGATAAAATCTGGCAGGGTGGCATGGTATAATCAGGGATGTTTAGATCTACAGGACAAGCTAGCTGTTTAAAGACCTGGGAAAAAATTGCGGTTTAGCTTAAATGCTAAAAATAGGCAAACTATTAGGTCTCCTATTAGAATGGTTTTTGGTTAAAATCATTTAATACTTAAGCCAAAGTAACTGATAATCTTGTTGAGGGAAGAGTAAAAACAGGAATACTTAACTGAAAGGATTAGCTAACTGATTGAATATCTAAGAAAACACTTGCAGTTTAACTTCCATACTAAAACATACTCACTCCCTAAGCCTAAGTTCCTAACACCGAAATTCCAGAAAAAAGAAAAGAAAATTCTATCTGTGGATTATTTCAGCTCAACAAATGCACAAGACTCACCAAATAGTAAATTGCAAAGTTATCTTTGTCTTCCATGTAACTGGACCTCAAGTTGAAGCGGATCATATAGATTACCCAAAGGGTTGTCAGCAAGGTAGCAGAATCAAGTAGAGTGTGTATGTCATACTCCATGACAAAACTGCAATAGAGCCTAACAGCTAAAAATATAGCTGTGAGGTCCTGCGATTTCAGTGAAAGCCCTACAAAGTTCTAAAATTAGAAAAGTCCAAAATAAAGACAAAACAAAATACCACAGTTGAGTTGGTGCGAAACACAGAGACAGAATGTAGAACATGCGCTTAATCGCAATGGGTTACATGATCGATATTGAAAACTATTGCACTCACAAGACAGATAGTAGCATCTACCGAGCAATTATCTATACATTATACAAAGAAATCTGATCTTGCTTTATTCAGTAAAAACTGCTTATCCTCAATTAGCACATTAGACCCTCATCCCGCAACACAAATTCTTTGACACCAACAGATTTCCTCGTATGAAAAGATTAGACACCATATACAGAAAACAATAAGAAACCCTGGTAAAACCATGATGTAAGATTGACATAAACCCCATGACTATTGCACCAAAACCCTAACATCATCCAAAAATCTTTGGATCATTTTTTATGGTCTGAGCTTTTCAGCTTGAAATAACCCGCAAAAGACTCGACAGTCCTCTTCAATAAAAGTAATCTCAAAAAACCAAACCTTTTACACTTTACAACCACAAATAGAACTAAAATGACACAGCTCACACCCTTTAACATCACAAACAAAAACCCAATTGCATTTCACAAGCAATTGATTAGAAAATTAAATCAGCGGAATAAAATAGATAAATTTGAGATAATCATAAAAGAAAGAGAGAGATGCATCATATCGATTACCAGCACAAGTCTTCTCCTTCATAAGCTTGTAAATAAGAACAGAGATTCCAATAGAATGAACAGCCTCAGCAGCAACGAAGAGGTTGTCATGATCATGAACAACCATTCTAAGAAAAACCAACGCTGCCAACCCTGAAACCACCGCTAAGAACACCTTGATCTTCGGAGGTTGCCTCCTTACCCATGTCGCCACTGCCTGGACTGGCCTCTTCGTTGCCTTCATTTTATTCCTCTTGCTAACACCGTCCTCTCTGCGCTCCTAATTTTGATGCGGCGTATCAGTTACGGGAGAGTGAAGTGATCACGTATAATTAAGTTATTTTGTTGTTGATGCAGTAATAAATGCTAGATCCGTGGATAGTTGATGTCTATGGAGGAGGTACAGTGGAGAATCAAGATCAGCTGTGGGAAGGGACAGGAACAGGAGCAAGGAGTGCTGATCAATGCGAGTTATGTTAGAACACGTGGAGATGAGGAGAGTTTCGTGAGAATAAGAAGATGGGCATTAGGCTGCTACCTTGTATTTTTGCTGCACAATGGGATAGGCTGCTCAACAACCATTATAATGGATGATTATGGTGGTCAGCCCACTTTGAATTTATGTGGTCACGGTGGATGGCCTCTTTTTTGTACGTGGTTTGGTAACGGAGCTGGCTTTTCGTGTGCACCGAAAAAATGGCATTTTCCAGGTGGGTGATAAACCGGTCTGCCGTCTCGGATTGATTTATAAAACAAATCATATGAACGCATCAGATGATTTTCTGAAAAAATTAATCTGGCAATTTCATAATATTTTTATTTAAAAATAAGGTTGGATTACGGGTTAGCAAAACAAACATCAAACTAATTAAGCACGTGGATGGTGCGTGTGGGGTAATATCTTTATTGAAAATGAACAGGTGGAATTAAGGATTGATCTAATTGACCATAAAGTAATGAAGAATGTGTGTGCGTTGAGATCTTTTTTTTTTGGTAAGGTATCACACTTAAGGTGAGTTAGGTGGCCTATCTTTTCTGTAAGCATTCAGTAAAATTCTTATATTGAATTTTTTTAATATTTATATTCTATCTAGTATTCATTAAATAAAGAATTTATATAATTATTTATAGAGTTTTAAGTATTTATTGTCCAATTATTATTGTTATTTATTTATTTAATATATATATATAATGCATGTGTGTATTAAACAATAAAAATTATAAGTATTGTACATATATACATGTATGCGTGTGTTTTGTATTAATATTGAGATGTCTATTTATTATATTATTTAAAAAAATCTAAATATCTTATAGATATATGATTTTAGGTTAAGTTCTAGTGGATTTTTGATTGAATTTGATAATATTCAAAACCTATCTATTATCCATAACCTATTCACTGTCCAAAAAATAACCCTTATTGGTTTGAGTGAAATAATGGTTTGAGATAAATGAGACCTTAGTCAAACTATAAATGCAATATTTTGAAAATATTTTTTTTATTATTATTATTGTTATTTATGTATGTCTGAGAAATAAAGTTCGGACAATTTAAAGGAAAACAAGCAAATAGAGCATTATGAGAGCTAAAACACATCCATACCAGTTGAGAGGGAACATAAAGAATGCAAAACTTGGTAATATAACAGATGAAAAGGGATCCTAAATAGAGTAACACTAGGATGATACAAACATGTGTAAAGGGATGGAAGAAGTAGGCCTAGGAAGTGACGAGGATCTGCTCGAAGAAACCTGTACTACCTTGGTAAACATCAACTAATGAAAAGTACATGCTTTTTTCATGTCTGGCATGTTTCATGCCTTAACTTGCCCTTCCGAAGTTTATCCTTCCCTTGAGAAAAATTTGTCGGATTTTTCTCCAAGCGGACATTGTGAACTACATTATTCCCATCAATTCCTTGGAAAATCTCCAATGAATTTAGCATTGTCCCACTGAAGTATCCATCAAGATTGGTTTTTTTTTAAAAAAATAATATAAATCATGGACTTATGGTGTGATGTGGGGCTAGTGTTTTCTTTAATGATAATAATAAAAACGCACTGAGATTCGCTGCCTATATAATTGCATAAAAAATCTAGAAAAAATTACAATCTTATAGAGGAGATCTAAAATGATAAGAGTGCTTCTCTATTCAAGCGATAAATTGACAGTGTTGCAAATGTATCTATGGACTAGAGAATAAAATCTAAAAAAAACTATTTCAAAAAAAAATAAATTGCAATTGCATTAAATTGATGCTCCCTTTTTTGGGTAAAAAATGGTGCTGGCCAATGGGGATAGCCCAATTAGATCCAAAAAGTGAATGAAAACCCAATTACATAGATGGTTTTTTATTGAAAAAGCAGAGACAGTTAAGGCCCAACAAGCCCAAAATCACCATAACTAGGAAAAGCCTAATTTCCCTATCCTTTTAAGTTTTAACTACGCACAGATACCGCTCTAGGAAACCCTCTTTTGAATTTACAACGGTCGAATCCGCTCCGAAACAGTGAAAGCCCTAAAATCTCAATCATTCTCTTTCAACTCAAAAAAAAAAAAAAAGCTTCATCTTCTTCTCCTTCTTTCTTCTTATATAACAATTCGATTCAAAAATGGGTACTTCAAAGCGCACTCAAGTGGTAACTTCCGATCGTGAAAAATGGGATAAAGTGTTTGGTGGGCTAGTAAAATTACTAAAGAACCAACAAGAACAGCTCGAAACTCTTTTAAAAGAGAGGAAAATCCTTGAAGATCGCATAAAAACGCAACATGAGAGATGGGTTTCTGATATTCGTCTCTATGATGATCATATTTTGCAGGCAAGTTTAATTTTTTTGTGTAAAGTTAGGTTCTTTTTGGATTTTAAAATTTGGGTTTTGAAAGTTTGAGGCTTTTGTGATGTCTTGCGTAGATTAAGGGGGGTTTGGTGGAGAAAGATATGGCGTGTTTGCTTGAGGCTGCTAAAGGTGATTTGATGTTGGGATTGAAGCAGAGAGAGGTTTCTCTTCACAAATTGAAATTAGGTCAGTGGCATTTTTAAGGGTTCTATGCATTCTTATCTTGGTTTGTACATCATTAATGTGAAAATAATGGGAATCTTGAGGATTTAAGTATCTGCTGCAAGTGCTGATTTCAATATAATATTAATAGAGGCTGAATGATTAAAGATTGTCTATATATATATATATATATAATCTTCAATTAAGTATATGGAATACATTCTGAAATTAGGTTATTTTTTTTCAAGTGTTTTTATGCATTTTTTGTTTGAATTATAGAGCATAAATGGAAAAAAAATTGAGAATTTTAGAATCTGTTGCAAGATTTTTGAAAATGAGATGAAGTAAGTTGGGGCTAAATCATTCAATCTTTTTTCCATGTAGTAATAAGAAGGGGATGCTTGTAATGATTTCAAAGGGGTAGTAGAATATAGTAAGACACTGTTGTACTTAGGATATCTTGTTGGGATAGGAGTGATACTCCTTTGACTACAAGTGGTTTTTTAAAAGTTTCATGAGAATTGCATATAAAATCACTTCACAAATTTCATCCTTTCCAACTTTCCCGTGTGACTATCATGATTCAGATTTATTAGTCTTTACTTAGGTGTTAATATGTGGTGAGTTTCACATAGATTATGTTGCTGGGAATGCACTTGTTCGTGGAGGGCTTTGTAATGACCCAACATGTTTTAAGTCTGTTTTATTTGATTGGTGTTTGTGATTGCAGAGCAAACAGAAGATGAATTGGCAGATTTCCGAGCATTGTTTGGCTACCTCTCTCAGAGCCTAAAAGTATGTTCCATCTCATACTTTGGTTCTTAGGGACTTTGCCTTAAATACCGTCATAAGATTTTTAATTCTCTGATTGATATATATCAGGAAAATTCTGTAGAAACTGCCAATGGAAAGGGTCCCGGGCATAGTGATTTAAAGCCTGGCGAAGCTAAAAGGTTGGAAGCCGAAGTAGAAAGGCTAAAGCTTGAAAACGAGAAGCTTGTTTTTGAAAAGAATTCTGAAGTATCTGCTCTCCAGAAAGGGAAAAACTTTGTGTGGAATCAATATGATATTCTAGAAAGCAATCTCACCAATAAATTAAGGATTAAAGAAGCTGAAGTTGAGAAGGCGAATGAGAAGATAGCAGAAGTTCTTGCCACTGCAGAGTTGCTCCAATCCTCAAATGATGAGAAGGATGAAATTATTCAAAGATTGAATACTAAGGTGGCCAAGATGGAAGCTGACACAAAGAAATGGAAGGAAGAAACTTTTAAACTCTCCCGGGAGTTGGAATGGTTAAGAAAGTTAAGAACTGCCCAAATTACACCTGTAATGAAACCTTGTAGTGCACCAGTTAGAACTTGCACTTTGGGAGTCAAAAGCTGTGGCAGAGATTGTAACCTTGTTGACAGGAAAGTATTGCAATCCGCTGTTCCTTCCAAGGATGCTGAAAAGGTATTAAAGAATTAACAATGCATTATCTGTAGTTAGATTTTGGTATGAGATGATGACTGACTTGGTATGTACATCATGGGAGGTCTAGTATAATCTTTTTTCTCTTACGTATGAAACAACAAAAATAGATACCATCTTTTAGAAAACCCTATCTGTTGGAAGACCATTGTATATGCATCTTTAGAGCGGAAAAAACAATCTGATTACCACATCAGTCATCGCTTAAAAAATGCCTGAATATCAAATTTGCTTCTTGTTCATTCATGCTGTCATGTTGTCATCTAGTCCCTTGAGGCTCGTAAATAGATAGTCAAAAGTTGCATGTTAATCTACATCATTCTTTGTGATTTTTCCACAGCATAACCATTCGAATCTCAAAATACTAGACATTTTGTCTTGATCCTGTAAGCTAATTGTACTTCAAACCGTTTGATTTCAGAGTAGCAGAGGCTTGAAGAAGAAAAGGATGGATGTTTTTGAAGCTCCAAGATTATTCTCTTCTTCCTTCAAAATTCCTAAAGTGAAGGTCCCATCTACTCCTGTCTAAATGACACCTTTCACACCATTCTTTAACCTTTCAGCTTAACAAAGTTGCAGCTTCTCCATGCAGTTTTTCATTCAGCTCTGATGTTTGGCTCTGTATAATTTTCTTTTCTGTATTCCAGTCGATCTGATGTAAGTTAGTTGTTGCCAGACCTTTGGGAGGCCATTCTTTTCCTCAACCTTATTGTGCAGTGTAAGTTAGCTTAGGTTGCAGTGCTGGATTTAGTTGGCATTTGTTATGTCTTTCAATTACAACAAATACCTATTGTGGCTCCGCAATGACTCTCCCATTATACTGTACTCAAACTCTGAAACAGGATTCTACCATTTTGTTATCTGCTGAAGTGAATATATAGTATCTAAAACTGAAAAATCTGTTTTGCCAGATGTCTATAAAATGACAAAACAAACTAAGTTTTCACTAGAATTTTACAAGTACAGTGGTAGAACCATAGAAGATTTCAACATATTCAAAGATGATGCACATAGCTGAACTAAAAGGACCTCCAAACAATTGGAGACCACATGGACTGAAAAGAGGACCTGTAATTTACCATCACCAGAAGCACCACCACCAACACCGCCAATCCCCAAGGCAAGTTCCAACTCCTATTATCCGCCGAGCCATACTGTGCTTTCGTGTTGGGAAACATGAAGGTCTCAACC